CGCTCTGGCCCCGGCCGCGCGGAACCTGGGCAGCTGGTGCCGACCTCGGGCCTGCGGCGCATGCTTGGCCCCGCCCCCAGTCTCGTGGCCTTTGAGCGGCCCCGCCCCCAGGCGCCCGGCAGCCCCAAAACGTTGGGGACCACTGAGCTGGGTGGTCATCCAAGCTCACAACTTACAGGGAACACTGCTGACAAAGTGGGTCTTTGCCTGTGAAAGCTTATACCCAAATAGATCTGTTAGTCTTTAATGTGCCACATGAATCCTCATTATTTTGTAGATGCAAACTAACACAGCTCCTCCTCTGAGACTTACAAAGAGAGAAAAACACTACAGTATCTTCTATAAAGTACTTTAAAAATATGCAGATATATAGATTTCCCTTTGAAACAGGTGATTTCAGAAACAGTCCAGCTAAGACCTTTCTCGTTAATATTTAAGACTAACTAGGAGACATGTTTAAACTAATAGAATTTAAACCAAGATTCTCCAATGCCATTGGATCAGTCTTTTTCTTCCTACTATCTAGTACATTACTTCTGCATAATAAGCAATCTGCTATTTCTGTTTGATGGAGCAAAGCAGAAAAACTGTGATGTGATAGATTAATGTTTATCTAGACTTATAAAATCATCTTAGTCACTAGAATGGTGTCTATCACTTAAACACTGTGGGTCTGTCTATACAGCAACGTTATTTTGAAATAACTTAGTCTGAGTCTACACAGCAGACAGTTATTTCAAAATAATGTCAAGCTGGAAAACCTTACTCTGACTCCTGTAACCCTCATTGTACGAAGAGTAAGAGAAGTGGAAGGAAGAGTGCTCTATTTCGAACTAAGTGCTGTGTAGATGCTTCCAATTTTGAAATAAGCGACACAATTGACGTAGCTCAATTTGAGTAGCTTATTTCGAGTTAAGCCCTGCCCTGTAGACCGCCCTGTGACATTAACACTCTGTTAGGAGAAAAGGCACTCCCAGATATTTTGTTCTAATAATAATGGTTTGGTTCTTACTTCTGTATCAACACAATGAAAAAATGTTAGCAACAATGTTCAATACAGCAAATTAGTTATAAGCACATTCAGTGCATTGATTGACAAGAGCAATAGCAGTGAATAATACAGTAAGATTTCCTCTGGCTTTCCAGAAATATGTACAGTAGGTAAAGCCAACTGAGTTATGACACTTATTTTTAAAGCTATGGCTGCCACTACAGTTGAGCTTTATCTGTACTCTCCAGCTATTCTTCAACTTCATCATCTTTTCCTCCCAGCCATTCTTATATGGCAGACCCAACCCATCAGAATGCCTCCCTATATTACTTTGACAGCCCTGAGCACTTCACCAGCATTAATTCCTGGGGATACAAGCTGGTGTTTTTGCAAAGTTCAACATGTTATAGCATTGCTATGTACACAAACACTACAAAAGCAGCATCAAAGCCAACAAACTCTGGAGTGGTTTTTGTTACATGACTGAGATGCCTAGTATCTGGTGGAGATGGACTCTAGTAAAGCAAGATTTGCTGGAGTACAGGCAGTCCCTGGGTTACATGGATCCGACTTACATCGGATCCCTACTTACAAACGGGATGAGGCAACCCCGCACTAGCTGCTTCCCCCCAGCAGACCAGGGAGACACGAAGCTAGTGCCACCGCCCCCCCCCCGCCCCCAGCAGACCAGGGAGACACGGAGCGGCTTTTCTCAGCAGACACCTCAGCTTGAGAATAAAGGACTGAGGGAAATGAGGTGTGGGAGAATAAAACTGAGCTCTGGAGAAATGTTTGGCTAGAGTTTCCCCTACAATATGTACCAGTTCCGACTTACATACAAATTCAACTTAAGAACAAACCTACAGTCCCTATCTAGTACGTAACCCGGGGACTGCCTGTATAAGCAAGTGTTCAGCTACCAGAAACGGATAACTCCTCAAGTCATAGAGGAGATTTATTTATATATAAAAGTTAAGTTTAGAACATAGAGATGGTCAAAATCTTTTGACATTCAGGATTGTGAGCCACGTCAAGAAAGAAACATTAAAAAAAAATCCTGAAAACATTTGTGATCTTTTCCACAGATCAGCTATATACATAGCTGCCATTACTGTTCTCTAGCCTTTTTAACCCTTTCTCTTGTTCTGTTTCTTATGGTTCTCTGTACACATGACAGAAGAAACCCTGGCTGGTTAGTCAAGCATTGATGAAAAAGAATGCATGACAACTTTTTCCAACAGCTGGACACCCTTCACTACAGAAAGGGATTTTAATAAAGCATGCCTGCCCAAGCATGCTATAGGCTAGCTCTATATGTATGTACAATGGCTTCAGTACAAGAGACCATATGGTTTTTGATCAAATACTTGAACAGTAAAGTACTCCATTGGATTCAGACCAAGCCCTAGCCACCACCCATATTTCTAGAACATGTCACTAGAGGGCACTCTTACTGTTCTGTACTAAACCTGTGTTTCAACACTGGTTCCAGAAATGCCGCACTAACAAATGTGTCATTTCCAAAATTTATCCCCAGACTGTAATAACTGGAGGAGTTTCATCTGTCATTAGTCAATTATTACAGTAAAACTCCATTGGTCCGGCATCTGACGGTCCGGAACCATCAGGAACCCGGAAGTGCTCCTCAGCCGGACCATTGGAGCTGCTCTGCCCCCAGCTTCCCCTATTCAGCCGCTGCTAAAACTGACCCGCAGCTGAATCGGGGAAGCCGGGGGCAGAGCAGCTGGGGCGCTGCCAGGTTGATCCCTTGGGGCTGCAGGACCAACCCAGCAGCGCCCCAGCTGTCCCCGATTTAGCCGCTGCCGGAAA